GTTTAAAAACACTAAAAATCATGAATTTTAAAAAAGAAAGAAAAGTAACTTGCACACAAACTTCATGCAGAGTACTTCTCATTATTCATATTTTTTCCAACCAAGTCAGAAACAATGTAACAATGAAGGTGCAGAGATTTACAAACTTAAGTTTTAAAGCTACACAAGAAGTGAAAAGAAGATATTCCAAATACTTTTCAAGATAAGAAGCATCTCAAAAAATATTTCTCTAAGACTTTAACATAAAATTGACCAATATATTAGTATGCGTTCAGTTCAACTAAGTACTACAGTTCTGTAAGATAAAATATAACGGGAGTCAGTCAGGTTCTCTTAGCACTAACCTTATTAGCTATAAAAATACAAAAGATGATTTGTTGAGATTCTTTAGGCCTGATCATAATTTAAATAACAATCAACATAGACACAGCTTTTAGCATAATTTTCAGAATTATTGCCATGCCTAACCTACAATATATTGTCAACAAAGGATTTGATATGTAAATTGTAAAGCATATTATTAAGCAGTGATGTTAAAAAGTAGCCACAAGGCAGAATATTACAAACAGTCCATTACAGCATTCCATCCAGGATGCTTGTTCTCAGTGCATCATGACATCTTAAAAATTGAAGGGGAAAGAAGTCAAGTGTATCACATGAAAAAAAATATTTGTAGGTATAATCCTATACTAAAAGGGTTTGCTTTGACCCATATACATCTTATGGGGTTGCTCAAATAAAAAGTACTGAGCAGAGACATTACCAAATTAAATACATAATATACCCTATTTGCATCACCAACACCAGTGTCAGTGCTGTAAAAGTAAAGACATACAAACAACTATCCCCTAGTCAAAAGTAATAATGATAAAAATAAAAAAAATTGTAAGCAGTAAAAAATGGAAGTACGGATTCTTTTTTAACAAGCAGCTACACATCACTGGAAGACTATTAAGTACCATTTAAAATACATTGCACTATAATTTTAAAGACATCATTACAAAAAGAAAAAGTAAAATGTCTAATAGGTTGCGGTAGTCTTATCTATATGCTAAGTCCTTTAATAAGCGTTAAAAGGTGCAAATTCAATTTACTAAATTAACAATGTCTAAGACTAGAAATCGGATTCCTACTGCATTAACAGCAAAGAAACAGTCAAGAAAATAAATATCAACACCCTGTGCACTACAAACATTTGCGAGCTTCTCAATTAAAACTATACAATTCACAGAAGACATTAGTTAGTTATTACTATTTAAGTGGAAGAAATTTCACCTAAAAGATTCACAGACTTTTGTGTGAAATTATTAGTTTTACAAGGTTGGTATATTATGAGAGAAAAGTTCGAACAGTTGCTTTAATTGCTTGACGACATATTGGACAGTCACTGAGAGATGGGGCACAGTTGACACATGTTACTAAATGACCGCAAGGAAGAAACACAACGCAGGCTTCTGAGTCCATGCAGATCTTGCACTGTCTGGCTTCTTTTAATCGCCTATTTTCTTCCTCTAGAGAAACTGAAAGAAAATTTTTTTAATTACGTCAACAGAAATAGGGTAACAAGCAACAGCGAATCAAATCAATGATCAGTAATACTGTGTATATGTACCTTTCTTCTCAAGACATAACAAATCCTCTTCCATGGATGGAAGAAGAGGTAAGCTTTGCCTGCATGAGCCATTCTTATCGGAGGATTTAGAGTTTGTAGCTTCAGGCAAACTTGGCATGGATTGAGACATAGGAGTGCCAGCAGCACCAGGTGATCTGTAAAAGAGACCAAATTTCAAAATTTATTTATAAACAATGAGTTTAAATAAGGCTGACATGTCAGCGCGAGATGGAAAATTATGTTTATTTCAGTATATATTACCCTTGTAAGGATGAAGTCTGATCATTACTAGTTGAAGGATTTTCTACTTCATGAGAAGCTGCTTCAATTGCATCTTCCCTTTGACGCTGTTGCTGTTGGCCATTTGGTTCCTGCTCCTGTTCTTCATCAGTTTCTTCTTCTGTTTCCCACTGATCCTCAGTATCCAAATCATTCTGACCACTTTGACGCCAATTGGTTGAACGGTGAGAGCTAGGTACATCCACCCTAAAAATTATTGTAAAAGTTGACATATGTACTTTTTTGCTTAAGTTTGGAAAGAAAATAAAAGTTACTTAGGTAACAAAAGGAAAACAAGAACCTACCTTAAGTCTTGATCAGCAAATTCCTCATGCTGAACATCAAGAGCAGCTTCAATCAGGGCATCAGCAGATGAAAACGGCAAACCAGTTTGTTCCAATTTTTGACGCAAGGCTGTTTTGATACGAGAAATGTCAAGCCCAGTCCCTAAGGCAGCCTGAAAAGATTTTATAGTTCAGAAAGAATCTTTCAAACAGTCAACATTGTAGCAAATTTTTAGAAGGATAAGAATTTACCACAACTGAATCAGATCCCATCAATGCCTGTATATCTCGATCTGTAATTGTGTGCTTCTGGCTTGGAGGCCTGCGAAGAGGCGAAGATGGAAGACTTGAATCTAGCATCTGAAAGGCATAAGAAAAATTTTGGAACATATTAACTACCAACATATCATAATGGAGGAGACTGGAAACTAGTAATTATTTCTTCATTTATTACTGTATTCAATGCTGTTTGTTGAACTATTGCTTGCTTCACAAACTGTTCTCCCTTAACTAGGGTAACATAGCCGCATGTGTTAAACCACCGAGCATGTTCCATCCAGGGATCATCTGAGGGATCCCAGAGCCTTAAACCTCCATCACAGTGAAAACATCTAACTAGATCGCCTCTTCCTAAGACAAATTAGCATTGTATTAGGGTTGGTACACTTGAACAATGGGATTAAAAGGCTTCTTCAAAACAGTATGATTTTTACCTGTGTAATAAAATCCAGCGGCAGCTAAGTC